GATGCTGCCTGGCCTGCTGTGTTCATCCAGCTCTACACCTTGTTATCTCTATTATTTTGTTTAAGTGTTTTAATAGAGTTAACGTTATGCTGGTTTTCCGATTTTTAATTGTGTTTTAACTGTGCGTAAGAATAAAGTGTGTTTTGCTTAAAGCCTGGTAGTTTGACCAAGCGAATTACATCTGGAATACAGTGCCTTTAAATAAGATAAAGGTTAGGGTCTAAGCTAGCTCCTTGATAATCTATTCAGGGGGTTTGGTCTGCCGTAACACTGAGAGTTTGGGTTTCAGTATTATGGAGGACAATGGCTTCATTGTACTGAGCAGAGACTGTGATGTTGTTGTAGCTTGCCTGCCCCTGGCGTGTGGTCTAATCTGTGTTGTATTTGCAGGTTATCTGTTCCTATGTCTTCATGCCCATCGCCTACATGATGGGAGTGGACTGGAATGATTCCTTTCTCGTTGCTGAACTGATTGGGATCAAGCTCTTCCTCAATGAGTTTGTGGCTTACCAGAAGCTCTCTGTGTACCAGAAAAACCGACTGAATGGCGTCACAGAGTTTATCAATGGAAAGAAGCAGTGGATTTCTGTAAGTACGTGCATGAACAGCAAGTGCCAAAGGTTTAATCTCAAAGGAAAGACTCAACAGGCCGAGAGTTTTTATCCCTGGAGCGTTGGAGACGGAGGGTTGACCTTACAGATCTGTATAAAATCATGAGAGGCATGGATAGAGTGAATAGGGTAGGCGAGTCCAAAACTAGGTTTAAGGTGAAAGGGGAAAGATTTAAAAGGGACCTAAAGGGACGTTTTCACACCGAGGGTGGTGTGTGTATGGAATGATCTGCCAGAGGAAGTGGTGGAGGCTGATACAATTACAACATTTAAAAAGACATTTGGACAGGTGTGTAAATAAGAAAGGTTTAGAGTGATATGGGCCAAATGCAGGCAAATGGGACTAGCTTAGTTTGGGAAACCTGATCGGCATGGATGAGTTGGACTGAAGGGCCTGTTTCCGTTCCATATGATTCTATGACTGAGGCAGTCACAAAGATTGTGTCAGCTAACCCTTCCTCTCACGGGTTCAAATCCAGTGGTAGTGACAATTCAATGTGCCATCCAATTCCAATTTGTTTTGGTTTATAAACTGACTGCGCAGCTCACCACAGCAAGTCCGAGGATAATCTGAGTTTCCGGATTCTAGGTGTAATGGTGGAAAGGGACTAACTACATTGGAGTAGCTCCCCAATGCATTCCAGCACTGGACAAGCTCAAAGTGGATCTGGTGCTCTCTGCATAGAGCTGGACAGGCACAGTATTGGTGTGAGGCCAGAATGCTGGGTGGATTAAATTAGACGTGCTGTCAGATCCCAGAGAGCCAGTTCTCCAGCGAGGGGTCCACTGTCTGCAAAGGCCACAACTCAGGCCCAGAACCTTTCAGCAGAGGGTCTTGGTCTCTCTGAAATTCTCATTTAGATCTCCGTCCCCTTTCACCTTATCATGTTCTCCACCCTGCCACAGCAGTGCCCTGCCTTTGCCAGCACAGCTGCGTGACCTCTATCCTGTCACTTGCCTCTAATCTAGCAGTAAGCACAGACGAAGGCCCTCTCTCTGGTCAAAGTGGTTAAGAAAGACGAATCCCCCCCCCTTGCCCCCCAGCCCCACCAAAACCAATGGACATTCAGCCAGGTTTACAGCTAAGCTCAGTTAGAGACAAAAAAAAACCCTGCAGATGCTGGAATCCAAGGTAGACAAACAGGAAGCTGGAAGAACACAGCAGGCCAGGCAGCATCTGGAGGAAAGGAGCTGTCCTGAAGAAGGGTAAAGTGTAGACTGCTACCTAAGCTCAATCCATTTGAGCGAATCAACTCAGAATTTATCAGGAAGCAAAAATCTTCAAATCCCAAAGGTTTTGTACGTGGGTGCCCAGGGATATAAGGTGGCCTATCTCCCTAACATCAGCCAGCATCAGGTTCTGGTGATTTCACATCCAGATAGGCCAAAAACAATCTCAGAGATCACAGATTGAAGGATTGGCCTTGTTTCCACTGGGCTTTAAAAGAGTGAGGGGTCTGATCAAAGGGTAGATGATCCCCAATGGTCTTGACAAAAGAAAGGATATTTCCTCTTGTGGATGACTCCAGAACCATAAGATTAAAATTTGGGCGTGTCCTTCTGGGCCTGGGAAGAGAATTTCTCTTCTCTCAGAGAGCTTTGCGATTTTGATGCTCTGCTTTGGAGCTGGTTATGGAATATTTTTAAGAAGAATGTGAATGGATTCCAATTGGGCAGGAGAATCAGGGATTATCATCATGTGGAATTTGAAACACAATCAGATCAGCCATTATCCTATTGATTGGTAGAGCAGGCTTGAGGGGCCGAATGGCCTTCTCCAGATTTATATAGACTTATTCAGTACGGAACAGACCCTTTAGTCCAACTCATCCCCGCCATCCAGACATCCCAATCTGATCTAGTCCCATTTGCCAGCATTTGGCCCATATGCCTTCCTGTTCATGTAACCATCCAGATGCCTTTTAAATGTTGTAATTGTACCAGCCTCCACCACTTCCTCTGGCAGCTCATTCCATACGCACACCACTCTCTGTATGAAGAAGTTGCCCCTCAGGTCCTTTTAAATCTTTCCCCTCTCACCTTAAACCTATGCCCCTCTAGTTTTAGACACCCTCTACCCTAGCAAAAAAGCCCTTGGCAGTTCATCCTATCCATGCCCCTCATGACTTTACAAACCTCTATTAGGTCAGCCCTCAGCCTCCTATGCTTCAGGGAAAAAAGCCCCGGTCTATTCAGCCTCTCCCTATAACTCAAACCTTCCAGTCCTGGCAACTTCCTCGTAATTTTTTTTCTGCAACCTTTCAAGTTTAACAGAAGGGTGACCAGAATTGTGTGCAGTAATCTAAAAGTGGCCTCACCAATGTCCTGTACAGCCACAATATGACGTCCAACTCCTATACTCAATGCGCTGACCAATGAAGGCAAGCATTCCAAACACCTTCTTCACTATCCTGTCTACCTACAACTCCACTTTCAAGGAACTATGAACTTGCACTGCAAGGCCTCTTTGTTCAGCCACACTCCCCATGGCCTTACCATTAACTGTATAAATCCTGCCCTGGTTTGCTTTTCCAAAATGCAGCACCTCACATTTATCTAAATTAAACTCCATCTGTTTGTAAATTGGGAGTGTTTACTGGAAGGAATGTGGAAAAGGTTTATGCTTTCTCTTTTGTCACTGTAGGTCAGAGCAGAGATGTTATCAACATATGCCCTTTGTGGTTTTGCAAACTTTTCATCAATCGGGATAATGCTTGGAGGACTCTGTAAGTAACACAAACAGAATCAGACAATTGCAGTCAATGTTGAGGTAGCCTTTCATGTGGCCACTTAATCTCCTATGAACTTCAAATGTTTTCAAGCCACATCAGTTAACCACTGTGTTCTGCTTTCTTTTGCCCATTCTGGGCTCTATTTGATTCCCCTTTTCACCCAAAGCCATCCCCTTTGAGACTCTCTGTGGATTGCATTAACCGAATGAAAGTGAAGGCACTTCTTCAGAGTAATGCAGCTTGGGAGATGTGGAGATTGTGAACAATCCTTTATAAGTTCACCCTCCATCCTTCTGTCTTGCTGAGTGAGCGCGAGGACAGTGTTAGACCTTTGTCCATCTCATGACCAAGACTCCACGTCACCCAGAGACAATCCCTGCTCAGTTTCACCGGATTAGGATCAGAGGGGACCTTGCTGGATCTGTCCATTCTGTACTCCATTGAGGACTGTTGCACAGCATCGTCTCAGCTGAGAGCAACTTCCTTCTGAGTCAGACAGTTGCTGTAGCACAGGGAGAGGCAATTTGATCCATCACTTCGTGCCAGCTCTCCAAAGGAAGAGTCCACTCAGTGCCCATTCTCCTGCTTTCCTCCCTTCCCCTGAACTTTCCTCTCTTTCCGATAATGGTCTCAGTCCCTTTCGAAGGCCTCGCTGAATATATCTCTGACACACTCTCACACAGTGCGTCCCAGACCTTAACCACTCACTGTGCAACAGACTTTTTTTCTCAGATCGCGTTCACTCCTTTTGCTAGGAGAGTTCTATACCCAGACCTGGGACATTGTGCACCCTCTGTGTGATGGGGTGGGGGGTCTGTGGTGTAGTTTCAGGTGTCGTAGCAAAACTTGCTTCATAACAGCAAAGTCACTAGGTCACTATTTGTTTACAGTTCTGGTCACCACACTGCCAGAAGGATGTGGATGCTTTGGAGAGGGTACAGAAAAGGTTTACCAAGATATTGCCTGGTTTGGGGGATTGTAGCTATGAAGAAAGGTTGGATAGACTGGGTTTGTTTTCACTGGAATGCAGGAGGTTGAGAGGCGACTTGATAGAAGTTTATAAGATTGTGAATGGTACAGATAGAGTGGAAAGTATGAGGCTTTTTCCCAGGGTGGAGGGGTCAATTATCAGGGGGCACAGGTTCAAGGTGCAAGGGGGGCAGTTTGAAAAAGATGTGCGAGGCAAGTTTTTCACACAAAGGGTGGTGAGTGCCTGGAACACGTTGCCAGAGGAGGTGGTGGAAGCAGACACAATAGCAGCTTTCAGGAAGCACCTGGGCAAATACATGAATAGGAAGGGAATAGAGAGATACGGATCCTGTAAGTGAAGACAGTTTTAATATGGAAGGGCAAAATGTGTCGGCACAGGCTTGGAGGGCTGAAGGGCCTGTTCCTGTGTTGTATTGTTCTTTTAACCTTAGTAAAGCCATTTGGGGTGTAAGAACATGCAGCAATTTAATGTTGATAGTCATTGAAACTGATAAAGTTAGATTGTAAAATATGAGTTGCATCGGAGTTGAACGTAAAGAGCTTGTATTTATGTAACACCTTTCACATCCTTGAAATGTGTCACAGCCAATAAAACATTTTTTTAATTGAAAATACAACTAACGTCATGTGGAGAAATGTGATAGCCAGTTGGTGCACAGTAAGATCCCACAACTGGGGAGGTGGGCTGGTGCTGATTGAATGATAAGGGCTAGCCAAAACACAAGAAGAACTCTCTGCTTTTCTGTGTGCAGTGCCATAGGACTGTTTACAGAGAGTCCAAAGGAACCTCGGTTACACATCCCAATTGAAGTAGTGCATGTCTGGCAGGGCAGAATGGCCTCAGCACTGTGTGGAAGGCATCAGCTGAGGCCACGGTTAGTGGCCCGCTAGAGTCAGGTTTTAGTTGAGATCTACACACACACAGACACACACACACACACAGACACACACACACACACACACACAGACACACACACACGCGCACACATACACACACACAC